CTTGAAGCATAAGTGGAATTGTATGGCACCATTAGTTACAGAAGGTAATGTAAATTATAGAGAACCTGGACTTGATATTTTTGTGAGACACTGATACAAAGTGGGTTAGAGCTAAAACTCCCTAGCAGCAGTTTTCGTAGTTATATTGCAGTCACAGAACTGAGAAGGTGCGGATGCACTTGGACTTCCAAAAACTCTACAAGCCAAGACAACTCTACCTCCCTCCGTGAGTGAAATAAGAACGTCGCTCAAAGACTGAAAAGAAGAACTTCTAACTCAAGCAAAAAATAAATCTAGGTCCAACTGACCAGCTGCCAAATTTGGGATTCTCTGTAGTTGACAACCACCTAATATCATTTCCAAAAGAACTGAGAGAAAGTCATTTCATTCTACCCTTGTGGTTTGGACTCTTGATTTAGAGAAAATGTTTGTTTTTGCCTGTGTTTTCCAGCCATGATATTGCTGGAAAACTCTTCCCATTGCATCAAGTTTTTATCCAAATGTCTGATCCAGTTCTAATAAAAGGTCACAGACCTGAAGTATAATCTCTACCTTTTATCTTTCCAGTGATGCTACCTGGCCTTCTGAGCATTTCTGGCATTTTCTGTTTTCTGCCTCAAGTTACACTTGTATACTGATGGTGAACAGTTCTATCTGACTATCAACTGTCTTAGCCCCTCTCGTTCCTCTTCTTGTAAAACTGTTTGGCCCATATCTGGTAATGGATGCACAGAAATGTTCTCAAAAAAAAAATTAAAGACTGTGGTCATTGTCTTTGGATTCTGTCAGAAACTCTGTTCCGTGACAACTATTTTCCATCCTTCACTCAAACAACTGAACCAGACCACTTGCATTGTTGAACCTGAGATGATTTTCCCACCAGTCATTTACTTTATCACCAAAACTGCCGACTTCCATTTCTGTATCATGCCCAGATCGCTCCCCGCATGTGCTGATGAAACTCTTAACCATATATCTATGCCATCTTAGAGTTAACCATTTCAGTGCTATCCTGTCTGACCTCCCATCTCCCTCACTGTATAAACTTGTGCTTGCCCGTACTCTGCCTGTGTTTTAACTTGCACTAAGTTCTGTTATCTATTACCCTGTGTTTGCTGACCTAGTTTGTCACACTTGCAGGCAACATACCTGTTTTAAAATTGTGATCCTTGTTTTCATTTCTGACACATCCTCACACCCCCCCTCCCCACCCCATCCTCATAGCCTCCACCAGTCTTACAAGCTTTCACAATCCCCCCATTCCTCCAATTCTAGCCTGTTGTGCCTCTCTATTTTTAATCAAATTAAATTCTGGAATTCCCTCCACAAACTTCTCTTCCTTTTAAGATGCTGCTTAAGATGCTACCTTTTTGACCAAGCTGGGTGGTTTTTCGGATTGGAGGCCTGTGACCAGCGGTGTTCCACGGGGATTGATGCTGGGTCCACTTTTGTTTGTCATTTATGTAGATGATTTGCATGAAAATTTAGGAAGCATGGTTAGTAAGTTTATGGTTGACACCAAAATTGGTGGTATAATTGACAATGAAGAAGGTTATCTAAGAATACAAAGGGATCTTAATCAGTTGGAGCTATGGGCTGAAGAATGGCAGATGGGGTTTAATTTAGCTCAATGCAATGTATTGCATTTTTGTAAAACCAACAAGGGCAGGACTTATTCAGGTAATGGTAGGGCCCTGTGTATTGTTGTTGAGCAGAGAGACTTAGAGGTTCAGCTAACAGTTCTTTGAAAGTTGCATCATAGACAGTGGTTAAGGCATTTTGCAAGCTTGTCTTCGTTGCTCAGATCATTGAGTATAGGAGTTGCGATGTCATGTTGAGGTTGTGCAGGATGTTGTGAAGCCATGTTTAGAGTACTGTGTATATTTCTGGTCACCCTGCTGCTGAAAGGATATTATTAAATTGGATAGGGTTCAGAAAAGATTTACCAGGATGTTGCTGGGATTGAAGTATTGAGTTGTAAGGATAAGCTGGGACTTTCACTAAATCGTAGGAGGTTGAAGGGTGACACATAGAGATTTATAAAATCAAGAGGGGCATTGATAAGGAGAAAAGCAAAGGTCTCTTCCCTAGAGATAACAAGGTGTAGAGCTGGATGAGCACAGCAGGCCAAGCAGCATCATAGGAGCAGGAAGGCTGACGTTTCGGGCCTAGACCCTTCATCAGAAATGGGGGAGGGGAACGGGGTTCTGAAAGAAATAGGGAGAGAGGGGGAGGCGGATAGAAGATGGATAGAGGAGAAGATAGGGTGGAGAGAAAACAGACAGGTCAAAGAGACGGGGATGGAGCCAGTAAAGGTGAGTGTAGGTGGGGAGGTAGGGAGGAGATAGGTCAGTCCAGGGAGGACGGACAGGTCAAGGGGGCGGGATGAGGTTAGTAGGTAGGAAATGGGGGTGCGGCTTGAGGGGATAGGTGGGAGGAAGAACAGGTTAGGGAGGCGGGGACAAGCTGAGCTGGTTTTGGGATGCGGAGGGGGAGGGGAGATTTTGAAGCTTGTGAAATCCACATTTTTCCCTAGGGTGGGGGAGTTCAAAACTAGGGGGCATATTTTTAAAGTGAGAGAAAAAAGCTTTAAAAAAGACCTGAAGGGCAACCTTTTTACACAGAGAGTGGTTATTGTGTGGAATGAACTGCCAGAGGAAGTGGTAGATGCAGGTACAGTTGCAGCATTTAAAAAACATTTGACAAGTACATGAATAGGAAAGGTTTAGAGGGATATGGACCAAATGCAGGCAAGTGGGACTAGTTTAGTTTGGGAAACTTGGTGGGCGTGGACAAGATGGACCAAAGGGTCTGTTTCCATGCTGTATGACTCTGACTCTAATTACCCTGAAATTTCCTGTGGTTTGGCATCAGCATTTTTATTGATAACTTTTTGTTTAGCACATTGAGATGTTTAGTTTTGTTGAAGTGGTTTTGTAATTTTTGTTGTTCTCTTAGTCGCTTCTCTTAATCCTCCTTTTGTTTTAGCTCACACCTGTGCTTTCCATAGCTGGTATAAAAGAAGCCATATCCTTAAGATAAATCAGCTGTCATTTCAAGCTGTTGGAGGCTGTAAACTTCCGGTCCTCATCTAACCAAAATTGTTTCATTTGATAAGAATTGTGATTGCTTGATGAGGCACCCATTTCAAAATGAAGCGTTTGCATTCCCTTGCAAAAAATGAGGTTACTCGGTAGTATTTCTGCTGTTTCAGACAAGGTTTTAACCCATTTGTTTAATCTGGTTGAAGCCTCTGTTAAAATAGCAGAGAAATTAAATTTCTGGTCAACTTGAGAGGTTCTTGTGGCATGTTTTCAAGTGCCATAATGTTTCAATTAGACACACTGTATTACTGCCTTCATTACATCACATGATATTGTCATAACAAAAAAAAAATCATCCACCCAAAAGCCTTGCCAGATTTCTTTTTGCAAAGTACAGTGGAAATGTAATTCGGTTTAAGCATTTTGCAGGACAGTGCATTCAATTTTCAGAGAGATTTGTTCAATATTTCTTGGATTTATATCCTATTGACTCGGAATTGCAGGCTGTGGAAAAAGAATGGAATCTGTCCCCACCCAGTTCATTCAAATGGTTCAAATTTTACTTTAGAGGTACTCAACAACTTTGCAAGATCTGTGAAAATATAATACTTACACACAGGTTTCTTCCTAATAAAAAGGCATCTGAGCCTTTCATTTAAAATGTTTGCTGTTCTGGTCTGGAGACTTAAGTTTTTAAAAATAAAAAATAAAATATAATTGTAAGTCTCATCACTTATAGGGATCAGCAAACAAAATAATCATATAGCCGGGATACAGGAACTGGGTGCATTTCAGCTACTGTACGCAAAGCAATTGAACATGACAGAATATTTTGGTTAGTTGAGGATAAATTAAAACTAAAATTGCTTTGGTGTATTTCCTTATGAAGTACTTTCAAAGTGGTTAATTGCTTCTAACCTAGCAAATGGTGCAGCCAGTTTGCATTTAGCAAGGTCCCACAAACAGCAATTTGTTGAATGATTTTGTTTGTAAGCTGTTTAAGGGTTAAATATTGGCGAGGTTAACAGGGAAACTCTTGCTCCTCTTTTGAAGTAGTGTCTTGAATTTGAGAGGTTATTTGATTAAAATCTTGCCTGAAGGAAGGCAACTCCAATCGTGCAGCACTCCATCATCAGTTTTGCAACTGAGGTGTCACCCTATAATATGCAGCTAAGTGCCTGATGTGAGACAACCACAAATTTCCAACCTCAAAAGCATATAGGCAGTCAGTGTACTTTTCTTTCATATGGATTTTTCTCTTGTGGTTTTGTTCTTAAATCAAATCCCCAATGTAGTCAACAGCCAGATTGTCTGCATGCCCTTCACTTCCTCCACCAAGTTACTGATTTTGTTTGTTTCATGTCTTCGCATACACTCTTTCCCTAAAAGAGAAAAACATGGAATTGTTAAGGGGATTGATAGGCTGACTTCTAACCTGTTGCATTGCTCGAACCTATCTTCTGTGACCAACAAGTCCTGGAGTGACTCTTGAACCCAGAGCTCAGAGGAAGGGATCGTGCATTTTTGTGGCTTTTGGCCCAGGAATCCAAAATTGTTTACCCATCCTCGTGTCATCACAGCAGGTATCCTCCTGGCCAAGGTAGTACATAAGCTGCTGCCCCTGCTGCACTATTATCTAATTACCAGGAGACTGAGCCTGGATCTCGGTTATTTGACCACAAACCTTTTCCCTGTGAGGAACCGTCTGTCAGTGACTCTTCCAAAGAGTGTGTGCAATAGTGGGCACAAGCGCACGTCATGCTGTGATTGCATGTCATTGTATACCAAGCCACTTTGTACAACCCTGACAGCATAGAGTCTAGATAAGACTAAATATATAACTGAGTGACTGAGTATAATTGTTTTTAACACAATTCCATACATGTCATGCAATGTTTCATGTTAAATTCAGAAAATTTCCTCTGACTGCAATGTGTGATTTGCATTGTTGCTCAGGTACCACCGGAGTTGCAGAATGAGGTACTGATGAGCTTGCTGGAGACTGATCCAGATGTCGTTGACTACTTGCTGCGGAGGAAAGCTTCACAGTCGTTGTGAGTAACTGTTGCCACTGTGGGTTCTTTTCCAAGTCAAAGAGCTGTTTTCCATCTAGGGCTGATAGGTTTCTAGCTACTGACCTCTGCTGTTCATTCAGGACATGAACAAACAAAAGAGAACGCAGAACCAAGTCAGCAGTTGCCAATCGGTGTATGGTACAAATCATTTCTTAATCTCAAGAGCAATCTTGTTACACAAAATCTAAATCTCTGCATTTATTTGCACTGATTTGTGCAATCTGAGTGTAATCAAGAAAGTGTGCTCTGATTTTTAAAACCTGAAAGTATATTAATTTCAGCTAGTAAGGTGAAGATAGCTTTGGATGAAACATAGAAATGATGTACTTTTTCTTTTTAATGGAGACATTTTTATGTAAAACCAATTAAGGACTCATGATGGAGGAGATGCAAAAAATTTTTGCAAAGAAACATCCTACAAACAGCAGCGAGATAATGACCAGATCATCCATTTAGTGCTTGTTCTGGCTAGGATATCAGAGGACCATCTGGTTCCCTGTAATAAAGCCAAGTGTTGGCCTAGATTGTGTATTCAGGCCTCTGCATTGGAACTAAGTTGCACGTACAGCTTCCAGATACACCAGAGCGTAGCAAGTACACAATGGCAGGCAACTGGGGAATTCATCTGTAACAAGCTGATAGGTTAGATTTATTCGTTCTTCAGAAATGGATGTCTCTGTCCAGGCCAGCATTTACTGCCATCCTTTGTTGCCCTGAGAGTAGTTTTGGTACAATGAAATGGCTTGGCATGCCACTTCAGCTGATAATTAAGATTCTGTTACGTTGATGTATCTCATGAGTCACAAATCTGCTTGTTTGGCTTTCTTTAAAAACAGTCATACTATGTTAACATAGTTAGTTAATCTGTGAAATGGTCACTTAAACTCATGCTTACTCCAATCTCAAGACCACTTCCTATGTAAATGTGACAATTTCAATTGTATCAGGACATTTATTTGCAATTGACCTTCATCCACAATCTAAACTATGCAGCCCTTTACAGCGTGCTGATAGAGCATGCTTCTCCTCTGTCATTGTTCTCTTAATAGAAGCTCAAAAGACAGGAAGCAAAACGCTGGATTTCCTCAAGGTTGATTTAAGTGCACAAATCGCTTGAAGACATGTATAAAAAGGATCAAAAAAAAAACAGAATGCTGGACTTTGTCTCCTGCAGCTTAAATATAAAGGGTATAGATGGTCTGATTAGCAAGTTTGCAGATGACACTAAGATTGGTGGAGTAGCAGATAGTGAAGGGGACTGTCGGAGAATGCAGCAGAATACAGATAGATTGGAGAGTTGGGCGGAGAAATGGCAGATGGAGTTCAATCCAGGCAAATGCGAGGTGATGCATTTTGGAAGATCCAATTCAAGAGCGAACTATATGGTAAATGGAAAAGCCCTGGGGAAAATTGATACACCAAGAGATCTGGATGTTCAGGTCCATTTTACCCTGAAGGTGGCAACGCAGGTCAATAGAGTGGTCACGAAGGCATACGGCATGCTTTCATTCATCGGCCGGGGTATTGAGTACAAGAGTTGGCAGGTCATGTTGCAGTTGTATAGGACTTTGGTTCGACCCCATTTGGAATACTGCGTACAGTTCTGGTCGCCACTTTACCAAAAGACGTGGATGCTTTGGAGAGGGTGCAGAGGAGGTTCACCAGGATGTTGCCTGGTATGGAGGGCGCTAGCTATGAAGAGAGGTTGAGTAGATTAGGATTATTTACATTAGAAAGACAGAGGTTGAGGGGGACCTGATTGAGGTCTACAAAATCATGAGAGGTATAGACAGGGTGATAGCAAGAAGCTTTTTCCCAGAGTGGGGGACTCAATTACTAGGGGTCACGATTCAAGGTGAGAGGGGCAAAGTTTAAGGGAGATATGCGTGGAAAGTTCATTACACAGCGGGTGGTGGGTGCTTGGAAAGCGTTGCCAGCGGAGGTGATAGAGGCGGGCACGATAGCATCATTTAAGATGTATCTAGACAGATACATGAATGGGCAGGGAGCAGAGGGATACAGGTCCTTGGAAAATAGGCGACAGGTTTAGATAGAGGATCTGGATCGGAGCAGGCTTGGAGGGCCGAAGGGCCTGTTCCTGTGCTGTAATTTTCTTCGTTCTTTAGTAGGAACCGAAAGAAATGCAGATGCTGTAAATCAGGAACAAAAACAAAGTTGCTGGAAAAGCTCAGCAGGTCTGGCAAAACCTGTGAAGAAAAAAAATCAGAGTTAACATTTTGGGTCCGGTGACCCTTCCTCGGAACTGGGTAGGAAGTTGTGCTTCAGTTATGCAGTCTTGGTGAGACCCTTGCAAGAATGAGCCTTGAACCTCAGACGATGATTCCTTAATGAAATTATCGCCTCAATCATTAATATGGACATTTGACTAAACAGCCTGAAGTTTTTATTTAATTAGTTGACAATATATTTGATAAATAACTGAGAGTCGATAAAAAGCTCTATACTTTCACCTCAGGGACTTGAATTGAGGTTCAGCCAAAAACGATGGATGGAAAGTTTCCCACAAAATTGAATCACCCCTGTTCTTAGTGTGTGGGAAGAAATGGCCATGATTCTGTACAATCTATAATTATGGATGAGGGCTTGCAGTACTTTACAATAGAGATGGCTGAGCAGAAGCTAATGGATTGGTTGATAGGAATGGTGCATAGGTTCGGATTCTTTACACAAACATAGCCCATCCTGATTAAATCAAAAACACAAAATAAGCATTACGTTAAAGAAAGTAAATTGGAACTTGTATCTATTTGGCATCTTTCTTGATCTCTGGACAGCCTAGAGCAGTTCACAGTACATGCATTAGTTTTGAAGTGTAGCCACTATCATAATGTAGATAGATTTGGCAGACAATTTTCCCCACAGCAAGCTCCCACTGCCAGTAGAATGAATGACCAGAAAATCTGCTTTTGTGATACTGGCTAAGTGACAAACAGGGGCTAGGACATGGGACAATTTTCCTAGTTCTTAATGAATAATGCTGCAAGGTCTTTATGTCCGTATTTGAACACTGCCTTCATACTTGAGTGAAGTGGTATCAGGGATTATGAGTCTCTGACCTGTCATAACCATGCAGAATCACAACTTTCTGACTAAGAGGTGACCGTGCTGTCCACTGAACTGCACCTTCGTTAGCTGTGTAACTTAATAATGTGCTTTGAGTTCACATAGTGAACGTGGTGAAATTGAAGTGTCTAAAATTTAATGTCATCATCTTTAACAGGAGTCCTGACCTGACGAGAGCAGAAGTCTCCTATTCTTTGGGAGGACGACATTCATCTATTGACTCTAATAAGATCTCAAGTGGAGAAGTGTCACCCTATGATAATAATTCTCCAGTCCTCTCAGACAGGCTGTTGACACCGGACGCAGAAGATCTTAGCACAGGTTCTGAGAAACTCTATAAAGTTCCTGAACAGTATGCTTTAGTTGGACACTTAAAATCCAAATCTGGGGATAGCTCTCCGGTTTCGTGGCCTGATAAAGGTAAGGTTCAAAGAATATTTGCACTTGTCCGCTTTACGCTTTTTAGTTTAAGTACTTGTAGCTCTAATTGTTACCATAGAGATTGTGACAACATTAAGCATATTTGTCTTCAGATTTAGCTTCGCAGCAGCATCTCTTCCATCGTGGTACTTTAGGATTTAAAAATCAACTTCACTAAACCAAACCCAAGTACAAGGCCAGCAAAGTTGTGGCCTCGTAGTTTCCAGAGTCATGTGATAATCGCAGCTGAAATATGATCATGGCTGATCACCCAACTCAGAACCCTGTTCCCACTTTCTCCCCATACTCTTTGATCCCTTTAATTCAAAGAAATATATCTAACTCCTTTTTGAGATCATTCAATGTTTTGGCCTTGACCACTTTCTGTGACAGGGAATCGCACAGGCTCACCATTCTAGGTGAAAACATTTCTCCACATCTCAGTCCAAAATGGCTTACACCATACCTTTATCATATGACTTGAATCCGTGCACTTCCCTGGAGACAACAGCTGAGATTAGTTTTGCTGAAAAAATACTTAGCCTGAATATGAAGTCATGGTGTGTAGGAGCACTGTTCCCAGTTCCACTGCAATGTTGGAAACCTTTGCCAACACCATCCATTAACATTACTAACATTTTTCAGAATGTTCTTCTGAAGAATGTTAGTAGCTCTTTGTTATTGTAATGACTTGCTTACATTAATGCACTTGTGGTTGTGGTTAATTTCCATCTGACCATTTTGCTTTAAATGTGATCAAATGAATATCACCACAGTATAAGAGAAAAAAGAACTACTTACAGAAAACAAACTTAGCAGCCTGATGGGATAAAAGGTGACCTTGCAACACCATTAGACTGTTTTCCGGTATTCCCTCTATGTTGCGGGTTTTGATACAGTAAGAGAAGAGAGACTGTTTCCAGTGACGGGATGGTTGGTGACCAGAGTCCAGAGTGAACACTCAAAAGTGGAGAAATAGGTTTCTCACAATGAACGGTTATCATATTGAATGCACTGTCTGGTAGTACGGTAGGAACAAGATTCAATTGTAACTTTCAAAACAAAATTAGATATATGATTGAAAAGGAAAAAGTGTAGGACAATGGGGAAAGAGTATGGAGTGTGACTAATTGTACAGCTGTTTCAAAGAGTTGGCACAATCATAATGTCCTCCTCCTGTGCTCTGATTTCTGAAGTTCTCAGTAGCCGTGTTAGAGCTATAGGGTCAATTTTCTGCTCCCGGTGAGAAGCCACATTTTAGAATTGCAATACTTGAATCTTTAAACTGTGCTCGTGGCTGGGAAGATTCAATTGAGTCGTTTAACCAAGGCCAGATGGCATTGTTTCTTTAAAGTTCAATAATAATGATCTGCAAAATAGTTTGGAGAAACCATAACATCTCAACAATATTTTCCATGTTAAAGTATGTTTATATTCTGCAGTGCTTGTCAGATAACATGATTTAATCCTGAAATCATGCACAAGTTGCTTGGTAGTAATTATTGTGTACCTCTTTGGAGAGGAAACTAATCCAAACATCTGTGGGCAAACAGATGAAATATCTCTGAGGTTGTAATAAATTATATTGTGCTGAGGAAGCTTGGAGGACGTTTGAGTATCGTTATTTGTAGTACATGAAATAGTCAGTTACATAATCTTCCGTACAGGTCAACAATGTGGCATTAAAGTTGCATGTGCGTGTCACCATTTTCTTTCTTTTGTTGCAGTTGGAAAAAGTACTGCCTTTTTGTACACGCTTTGTTATTCCTTGTACTTTAGTTTTCTTCCTGTCCTGACCAAAATTATGTGTTAGCACTCACGGCTCAGAATCATTTCAAGTCCTGCCCCAAAGTCTTAAGCACAAAATTCCGCCCAACACTTAAGTGTAGGATTAAAAGAATGTTGCAGTATTGGGGGTGCTGCCTATTAGAGGGAACATAACACTCTCCGATGCATTGAGAAAGAAACATAGCACGATTTGAAGAATAATAGCGGAACTATACCCTGTGTTCTGAGGTGAATATTTATCCTTCAATCAGCATAATCTGGTCATTATTAATTACAGGAAATCCCCAACATACGAATGCTCGTATTTACAAACACTATCCCACGCAGGGATGTAATTTTAAATACCCGACATGCAAACATGACCTGTACTTATGAACAACGGCTTTATATTGTCCCACATCGTGTTCCCATGTGCACAAATCAGGACTTGGGAGTGAAACCTTTTCGCAACCCGGGTGCTGCCTGTACTTCAGCAATTTCTGTTTTTTGATTGAGAAAACTCAGCAGGTCTGGCAGCATCTGTGGAGAGAAAGCAGACTTAATGTTTCGAGTCCAGTGGCCTTTCTTCAGAATTGCCTGTACTTATTTGGGGTCCAGGTTTTCACCCAAACTGGTTGTCATGTTTCCCTACATGTTAATATCAGTTGTTTCAAAAATAATTCCTTGTTTTAAAGTTCTTTGGGAATATCCTGAGGTTATGAAAGGTGCTGTAAAAATGCAAGTCCTTCTCTTTCTCATTATTCGTTTCTCAAGTAATGACCTTTACATTTCAGAAAGACTATCTTCTTTTAGTTTCTAGTCCTCCAACTGATGTTGAGACTCAAAAATTGGTCTGATAAACTTTGACATATACAGGTTAGCATATATGCAAAGAGGATATGCAAGCTGCAAAGAAGATATACAAGCAACAAAGAGGTTAGAACATAAGAACAGAAGAACTAGGAGCAGGAGTAGGCCATCCGGCCCCTCAAGCCTGCCCCGCCATTAAAGAAGATCATGGCTGATCTTTTTGAGACTCAGCTCCACTTACCGGCCCGCTCACCATAACCCTTAATTCCTTTACTGTTCAAAAATTTATCTAGCCTTGCCTTAAAAACATTCAGTGAGGTAGCTTCAACCGCTTCACTGGGCAGGGAATTCCACAGATTCACAACCCTTTGGCTTCCCTTTATTTTGAGGCGATGCCCTCTAGTCCTAGTTTCACCTGCTAGTGGAAGCAACCTCCCTGCCTCCACCTTATCTATTCCCTTCATAATCTTATATGTTTCTATAAGACCACCCCTCTGCATAATGTGCTTGTGCATTATGTCCTAGAATGTAAGCAAGTTGATAAACCTATGAGAAAGACCCATTGGATTTTGAGTTTGGTGAATAATTACATAAAACCATGAGATTTTTATTCACTATTGGGATATGGGTGCTGCTGACTAGGCCAGCATTTATTGCCCATCTCCAGTTGCCCTTGAGAAGATTGTAGTGAGTTGCCACCTTGAATCACTGTAGTCAATTTGCTGCAGGTAGACTCACAATGCCTTTAGAGAGGGAGTTCCAGAATTTTGACCCAGCAACGCTGAAGGAAAATTGATGTTTCCAGTCAGAATGGTGAGTGGCTTGGAGGGAATTTGCAGGCAATGGTGCTCCCATGTGTTCGCTGCAGTGTCCTTCCAGATGATAGTGGTAATAGGTTTGGAAGGTTCCATCTAAACAGCCTTGGCAAGTTTCTGCAGTGCATCCTGTAGTTGGTACACACTGCTGGTCAGTGGTGGAGGGAACGGATATTTGTGGATGTAATGCCAATCCAGCTGGATGCTTTGTCTTGAATGGTGTCAATCTTCTTGATTTTGGAACTGCACTCATCCAGGCAATTAGAGAGTATGCTATCAACTCCTGACTTATGCTTTGTAGATGGTGAATAGGCTTTGGGGATTCAGGAGGTGAGTTAGTCACTGCAACATTCCTAGCCCCTGACCTGTTCTTGTAGTCACTGTATTTATATAGCTAGTCCAGTTCAGTTTCTGGTTAATTGTATACTATAGTTGAAGTACAATTTTGGTTACCTAATTAAAGAAAAGACAGTAAAAAAAAAAGTTGAAATTATAATGGAGATTCACCAGGATGCTTTTATTGATGAGAAACTATAGTTTTGCAAGCCTTGAGATACTGTGATTTTTTTTCCATTAGAGCAGAAAAGCTTAGAGGGAATCTAATGGAAGATTTTTAAAAATATGTAGGGTTCTTGCTATAGTGACTGACTGCAAAAGTTCATTGGCTCAGATGGGAGAATAGCCGATGAAGAGACTATCAATTTAGAAACTCCACTGGGAAAGAGAGAGATTAGAAGAAACTTCTATATTCCAATAAATGTTGGAGATTTTCCATGGTTGATGTAGAGACCATTACATATTTTAATGAAAAAATGGATAAATATCTGATCCAAAGGATGATGGGAGTCTATGGTGAGAGTCAGGCAGTGGACATAACTTCAGATTGTTCTAGAAAACAACTGACACACACAGAAATGCTGATTGGAGGTCTTGCATTGTAAACTGCTACATTCCAGACAAATCCTAAAATGAGTCAATATCTAAAATTTATAGCTTTCCTTAGTTCTGTTTGTTGTCCTACAACACTTCACTCCAATATGGTATAATTAGTGAATGGTGGAACCAACTACATCAGGCCAAATTATGCATGTATAAATTCTACTAAGAGTAAAATAGGATCCTCTTGAACTAATGGGTTGGATATTTTCAGAAGCACTTTCCACTTAAGAGAAACTGGGAGATGACTTATAGGATATCTGTCCAACCTAAAAACATTTAAAATATGAAGGTGTTGATAGGGTAAACATAAAAGAAATTTCCATTTATGGAAAGCTAAGGATGAATTAAATATAACATTTAGTCACTAATAATCTGATGAAGACCTCCTGGGGAAATCTCTTTATCCAGAGAATGTTAGAATGTACAACTTGGTGCCACATAGAATGCTTGAGCCAAATAATATAGATAAATAGATTTAATTAGGAAGCTAAATAAGTACTTGAGGATGGTTGGATGAATTTGAGTGGGAGATGCTCCATGCGTAGAGCACAAACACTAAGTTGGACCAGTTGGGCCAAATTAACCTGATTTTGTGTAAGTTACTCTGTACTAATGAGGTGTAAATTGTGCAGACTGCACTACGTGCAAATTAAAAATAATGTACTTCACTAAAAATAAAATAAATAACTGAGGAAAATGTGGAAAAGGTTGCCAATTCATTATCGTCCTTTTTATACTATTCCACAAGGTCAAAATTACCTTTTGTATGTGCTAGAATATTGATAATTTTATCTAAACAGATCTAGAAAGTAATTCCTTTGTGAAAATTCACTTGTATACTCATCACTTTTTTTGCATTTTAAAAAGGTTAATTTAAGTAGTTCTATGTCTTTCCTCCCCTGCCTTTTAGCTAAAAATGCACCTTCAGAAGAAAACATTAACATTTGGGGAACTTGGCATTCCACATTGAAACATGGGTCTAGAGAGGAAGGGATAACAGGTACAGCAAACGTGCGGCACTTTTTTTTAAATTATACTTTTTTTAAATTATACTCACCTTTTTGGAAGGCTGTGACTAATCTGCATGCTTCTACGGCTGAAGGACAAGGTTATTATGCCTAACGTATTTATAAGTATCAATAAGTAATAGGAGCAGAAATAGACCATAGAACCCCTTGAGACCCATCTTCAGACTCAGTGACATTCTATTACATACTGTCCATATTCCTGAATTCCCAGCGTTGAACCCTCTAGGTTAGAGAATTTAAAAATTCACAACCCACTGCACGAATGAAATTTTCTCCCCTTGGTCCTAGATGGTTCTCCCGTTATCCTGGAGTTATTGTCCTATATTTTATACTACCTAACTCGTGGAAACCCTGTCAAGCTCCTTCAGAATCTGGTAAGCTACAGTAAGATCATTCTTCAGGACTCCAGAGGATAGAGGCCCAAAATACTTAGTCTTTCGTTATAGGACACCCCTTTCATCCCAAGAACTAATCTACTGAACATTCATTGGACAATCTCCTGGGTAAGTATGTCCTTCCTTTAAAACGGAGACCAGAACTGCACACAATACCGGGAATCCGATACTCAATAACCAATACTCTTGCTAAAGCCCTATACAATTCAAGAAAGACTTCCTTGTTCCTGTACTCTAACCCTCTTGCAATAAAAGCCATAATGTTATTTGTCATCCTACTTACTTAAAAGTTTCATGTCATTTCCAAAACAAATTCTGCTTTTCTATTCTTGTGGTTAAAGTGAGTATCCTCACACTTCCGCTTGTTTGCTCAGCCATTTAACCTGTCTATAAATTTGTTTGCAGCCCCTCTCTGCCCTTCTCACAGCATGAATTCCCACCTACCTTTGCATCAACAACAATTCTTGGGCACACTACTTTTGGCAGTTCTGTCAAAATTATTAATTTAGTTAGTAAACAGATGAGACCAAAACACTGGTCTTTATAATGCTGTAGCAGTTGCCGACTGCCACCTTGGAAAAATCCCCCTCTATCCCTATTCTTTGCTGCTTGCTCAATAACCAGTACCCAATCCATGCTAATATATCAGCCCAACTCGTGAGTTATTATGTTATGCATTAACTTTTTTGTGTTGGCTGTGGTTCATTTGGTAGCACATTCACTTCTGAATTGCAAGATATTGGGTTCAAATCCCACTCGAAGGCCTGACCACAAAAACCAAGACACTGCAGTGTAGTACTGAGGAAGCGCTACGCTCCAAGGTCCCATCTTTCAGATGGGATGTTAAACTGAGGCTCCATTTTTTTGCCTGGGTGGATGTGAAAGATCCCATAGATTTTTGAAAGAAAAGCGACCTGGTATCTTGGCCAACAATTATCCCTCAATCAACTTCACAAAACAACAACAAACCCAGATTATCATCATTATTGCTGACAGTCTGCCTCCAACAAAATGTTTTACATGATATTGTAAGTTCATGTTATTTCCCTTAAAGTAAGAAACTGGGTGTGGGTATCATGGCATTGAAGAATCCAACAGACATTATTATAACTAGGTATTATGTCCAATTCTTACATTCCTCAGTCACATAAGTGTTTGGGTTAATATTAAGCTATTAAATTACAACAGAGCATGCTTCCAATGAAGAATCATGCTTTCAATGTAATCAGGGCTATATGAGACCTTTTATAGCCTCTGGTCACATGGTATGATGCTGTGATGATGTCATGACTATTGAAATAACTCCACAGAGGCCAGTATCCTGTCACCAAGTCACCCTTTATTCTCATTTTTAGAGTCATTAATACTGATCCTGCTCCCTCAGAGCCAGCTCTGAGCGAACAGCATGTCTGACACTTCCGTTCTTATCTGTCAGCAGGGCTCGCTGATTGAGCCTGTTAATCCAGTCCAATTGGGGAACTCGAATTTCATGAGGTCCACCTGCCTGGTCTCATTACAATCAAGGCAGCTGTGATATCTTAAAAGTACACTGAAGTACTGATCATGAGACATATACTCTGGGACGATACTCATTGGAGTTTAGAAGGATGAGGGGGGGGATCTAATTGAAACTTACAGAATACTGAATGGCCTGGACAGAATGGATGTTGGGAAGATGTTTTTATTTGTAGGAGAGACTAGGACCCGAGGGCACAGCCTTAGAGTAAAGGGAAGACCTATTAGAATGAAGATAAGGAGAAATTTCTTCAGCCAGAGAGTGGTGAATCTATAGAATTCACTACCACAGAAGGTTGTGGAGGCCAGGTCATTGAGTACATTTAAGACTGAGATAGATAGATTATTGATTATCAAGAGGATCAAGGGTTACGGGGAGAAAGCAGGAGAATGGGGTTGAGGAACTTATCAGCCATGATTGAATGGCGGAGCAGACTCAATGGGCCGAATGGCCTAATTGCTGCTCCTATGTCTTGTGGTCTTATAATACAACTACAGGGCTTTTCAGGCAAGTTTTCTGAGCACAAATTATCTGCAGTATTTCCAACTGTAACTAGATTTCAGAGAAGTACATCGTTGGCTTTAAAATGTCCTGAAATGTCCAGGGAAAGATGCTATGTAAATGCAGATCTTTAGTGCGGTGCGTGTTGAATGCCATTTTGAAATACAAGTATACTACATCAACTTGCTTCCTTTGATCTGCCATATTAGTTACATCCTCAAAGAATCTTATTAAATTGATAGGCCATGATTTCCTTGTCATAAAACGATGTTAACTTTATCCAGTCATTTTGTGATTGTAGTTTAATTGCTGACACTTCCTTGGCATTAAATTCCAGCATTCTACCTAATGATGACTGTCAAGCTATCTTGCTTGCAGTTCCCTGTCATCTCTCTCCATCTGTTCTTGAATACAAGTGGTACGTTTGTTAAATTCCAATTCACTGGTGCCATTCTAGAACCTAGAGAATTCTGGAAAATTGTAACCAGTGCATCCATTGCTTTTAACTACCTCTTTTTTTAGAATTGAACTGAAATTGGGAAGAGGTATTTAGCGGTGGAAGAACTGATATTGCACCTCCTACTGGGTAGTCATGGAGTGGTCTAGATTATAGAATCAAGACTGTTCAATGGTTGCCTAATAGGAGGTAGAGTTCTTTATCTTTTTTTTGGGATATGGGTGTTCCTATTGAGGCCAGCATTTTATCAGTTGTCTCTAGCTGGCCTTAGCAGGTGGTGCTGGTCCATCTTCTTGAATTGCTGTAAAGCTTTGATATGATGGAGTAAAATAATAGTCACCATAGTCCCAGAGGATGATAAGGCTGCTTTCTTGTCAAAGAGAGAGATGACTGGAGATGGTTTAACATGAGTTTGAGAAGATAGCACCTTCATAGTAACGTCAGCTGTTCAGCAATTGAACCCAAGCAGTTAGTATCACTCTGCATTGCAAATCAGCTGTCCACCCAACCGACTGCCAACAAAAGAGTAGATTGCTAATTGTTGAGAGTGGACACTGACCGGGAAAGTACTGGAGTCAGATTAGGGTGAACTGGCAGGTTTACTCCCCTAAATTATTGTTTAAGTAACTATGGGAAGCAACGTCGAAATTTTAATCTCCTTAAGTTATGATTGCTGCAGTATGGTATTCCATCTGAAACAGTAGCAGAAAACTCCGAATATATATCTCTTGAGAAAATAGTGTAGAAGGTGCAGTAATAGCTCTACCTTGTTAAACACCTCTTCAAATGTTTGTTTCAACTGTCTTCAAATAAGGAAGGCAGGAGCCTATTCAAGTAATTTATTCTGTGTTTCATTGACTGTGCTATGTTTCTTCTATCGTGGAACAGGAGGTTAATGAAATTATCCTTTTGCAGAATAAATGCCAGTAGGGGCCTGCTTTAAACTTGATCATTCAATAATTCATAAAAGGAATACATTTGTAAAAGATTTGAGAGGTGGCATTTAACTGAAACATAATTTTCACCATTGATATTTTAAACTATTCTTGTCTCATTCGTGCTTATAATGATGCAAATTATGGGGCTTACTAATTCTGAATTTTCTTTATAATGTTTCACATGACTTGCCTTAGCATCTCAGAAATCTTGGACTCCAAAAGACCACTTCTGATTCACATCTGCAAACATTTTCAAAATCATGATCAGTTATTTTAGTCATAAAGTTTTTTTGGCTACCTTGTAACATCTGGAACCTAACATGACCAACTTTCTCCTGCATCATATAATCATACAACACAGAAGGAGGCCACTTGACCTGTGACTATTGTACCTGTGCCAGGTCTTTGAAAAAGCTATCCAGTTAAATTGGTGTCCGCTGCCTGGCTATCTTCCTGCCAGTCACATTTTCTTCTATTTAATCTGTCAAAACCTTCATAATTTAATCTGTCCCTTGACTCTCCTGTAATGAAAAGCAATCCCAGCTACTCTCATTTCTCCACATAATTCTAGTGTGTTACAGTGGTTTCATTTCTAAGGAATAACGAAGATCCAGTTTCATTTAAAATATGTTTAGGGAATAAATACTCTTGAATTTTCTAGATGCCACTTTCCCTTGGAATTCTACACTGAATTTCTTTATCATCATCATCGCATTGGAAGATTGACATGTCTACGAGTAATTTCTTATTCTTTCTTACCTAGGTTCGTATGGAGATATTTATCAAAGCAGTGTGCTACAGCAAAGACAGTGTTCTCTGTCACAGGGAAACCTCACGGCAGACTGGCCTGTCATTCAGGCCTCTTCTACGTCTTCTCTGGACAATGCAAAGCAGCCTGTGCGAAGAACTCATACTGCAGAAGGTGCCCCTGAGTACAGAACCCACACTCCTGTGAGTCGTGTTTGCAGCAGCCCTCAAGTGCCAGGAGGTAAGAAACATGTGCAGTTGAGCCTGGAATCTTTGTGCCTCAGTCATGACCAGCGGTCCACAGGAAGCGCAGAAGAAATTCCTCAGAAAACCTCAGAAACCTCTTTGTTGCACAAGAAACCGTGGCAGTTCCATTTTAGGCACGGGGACATCAACAGAAATGAGACTCGGCCCCCTCCTCCATACCCCGGCCCATTGAGACAAAGCGCTCCGACTTCTAGTAAAGCTGGTACACATCAGGAGCAAGCTCTGTCAAGACTTCAAAAGACTCAGCAAAGTTCTGTGGAACAACAGGCAGCATCATCCAAACAGTCAGCGCCCAACTCTGAGCAGCAGGACTCTGTTTCCTGTAACGAAGAGAATCAAAGCTGGTCCAGGCAAACAGACCATCAGAACAATAAGAGCAATTTAGCAGAGGCTGACTGGGTGGAATGGCAGAGAGAACGATGTCAAATCTGGGAGCTGCTGTCTGCAGACAATGCAGATTCACTACCAGAAACTCTAGTATGATATCTTGAACTGCTCTCACAGTAGACTTTGTTTAGATGTCATTTTAATTTTTTTTAAAGAAACAAATCAAAATCGTCCTATCATTTACACAAAACATATTTTTATATTTGTGCGATATTTTAACTTTCTTTTACTTTTCAGGGTGTAAAACAACACAGTCTTTAACATTCTTGTACAAAGTCAGTGTGTCTGTCAGCACCTAAAGCGTAGCATAGGACAATACATTTGAATGTTGCTGTATGCATAAAATATACATGAAATATACATATATATTATATATATATATATATATATCTATCCTGTGTTGTAATTTCCATTTGATTTTATATTTATACATATGTTTGTTTTGGAAGAAATTATGTTCAGAACTGCATTCAAAGAAAAAAATCTATTTTGGACTGCTCATACATCATTGCACTTATCTTGTTGCTCTAATGACTAATTGTAGCCTCAGCAGCTCTGTGTACACCAACTGGTGTTTCTGTTATTGTCTTATGTGTACATTACAAGGTCTTCTTGCCACTGACTAAATGAAATAACCACTGCAGTATCAAGGTTTTAACTACTGTCAATGTTCTTTGTGGGCTATCATTATCTCTTCTTCAGCTACATGTACTGCTCTAAAGTACCAACCCACACTCCCATGAATAAGTAACCTACATACTCTACTGCTAGTTACCATTTGCAGTGATGTTATTCACAGGGTTTTTAAAAAAATAATTCCCCTCCTTACCCCTTCTTAGAATGTGAAAAATAGGATAGAGATGGAAAGAGAATATAGCATCACAATTTGCTACATGGCAGTGACAATTCAGCTATCACCACATTAAGTCATTGCTTGATTGATCTCCGGCCAGGTGGAAGTCTAATATTCCTGACTCGCAGGGACTGCTGTGCACGCAGTTTAAAGAATGGGGAAATGATAGGTTACATGTTTTGAATGTATTCAAACGAGGGATATGCATAAAGTGTACCTTTTTAAAACAAGATTGTAAGATACGTTTTAATTTTAAACAATTGTGCCAAAGTTAGAAGTGACAAGTTCATACAATTCCATTTATTTTGTTTTCAGAGGAAAATAACATTTTATAAACTGATGTTTTAATTTGTTTGAACTCTGGGCTAGCAGTTGGCCACAACCATGTTCACGTTTAAAATTTTCTGCCAGTCAAGGCAAGTATATTACATTGAAACAGTTGTGATCTAACACAGTACATTGTCTTAAGCTGGTAAATAACATAATCTTAAATCTCACGTGCTGTAAAGATCCAATTAAAAAGAATGTGATAAAACAAGATTGATTTCTGAGTTTTTAATATGGCTAGGAACATTCCAAGTTATGCATCTAAAATTTAACGTGATTGTACAAAATAGGTGGCGATGTAGCCTGTTTCATGCTCCAATGAAAATCATGTGAAGTTCCTGAAAAAATTAGAAACAAAAAGATTCAGTGTGAAATTACAGGTGGGGTACCATGCATTAGCTTGATGTGAGGCCAAGAAGGTGTGACTACTTTGTATAGTTTTAGGACATAGTCATGATAAAAGGTCTTGTTTGAACCTATTCAGCTGAATTTCTGCCCCTCTAGTGGACCTGAAATCACTGTCTGAAGTAACCTACAACATATTCAGTGACTATTAATGTGTTGTTTATCCTCTTTGTCCTCAACCAGTTTTTAAGACAATGTGAGACATTCCATCTTCCCCATTGCCCCATTTCTGTGGAGAAACCTTGTGTGATTGTGACACCACCTTATCCTGCCTCATTATGTCACCACCACAATTCCCCCAAGAATCAGGCCCATTTACACTTCTTCATCTTTGCTTTTATATATATGTTAATGACACTCTGCTCTATCACCTCTCTTAACCTTACATCTACACATGATGAACTGAAAAAATGTATTAGATATGTTGTCTGAACTTGAAGTTGATAAAAATAGCAGGACCAGATGAGATGCTGAGGAAAGTAACTGTAGAAATTATGGAGGCACTGGCCTTCATTATTTTCCAGTCTTTCTTGAAGTCTGGAGGATTGGAGAATTGTAAATGTTGGACTTTTGTTAAAAGAGTATAATGATAAGCTCAGCAACACTTAGGCCAGTTAATTTAACTTTGGTAGGGAATCTTCTAGAAACAATACTTCAGGGGAAAATTAATAATCACTTGAGCACGTGTGGATTAATAAAGGAACGCCAACAGAGGATTTTTAAATTGCTGGCATTTTTAAAAGAGATAACAAAGAGAACTAATAAAGATAATGCTACTGAAAGTACATCTGTGCAGTGTTTTATCACAAACCTGTGAGCAAAGTAAATGGGACATTACCAACGTGGATAAGAACATTGGCTAAGTGGCAGAAAACAGAGAATAGTGATTTAATATATGTCTCTAAAACTGGAGGAAGGTTTGTAGTGAAGTTTTCTAGGGATCAGTGTTAGAACCCTTAGTCTTTATAATTATTTATGACTGACCTTGACCTTGTTATACAGGGCACAATTTTAAAATTTGTAGACGCTACAAAACATGGAAGTATTGTGAGCTATGAGCAGCTTCATGTAGAATGTCTAAAGAATGTTGGCAAGATTGTGGAATGAGCAGACCTGTGTCAGATGAAAGTTAATGCAGAGAAGTCTGGAGTGGTTCATTTTGATAGGAAGAGCATGAAGGGATAATATAAAATAAAGGGTACAGTTCTCAAAGGGATGCAGGATCAGATGGACCTGAATGTATATGACCATGGACCACTGAAGGTGGCAGGACAAGTTGAGAGAATGGCTAGTGAAGTACACAATAGGTTTTATTGATCAGGCATGGAGTACAGGAAGTCATGTTAAATGCGCTCAAAACAATGATTTGGCCTCAACGGGACTACTGGATTCTGTTCGGGTTTTCACCCTTTAAATAGGATGTGAGGTATAACAGTGCAGTGCAGAAAAGATTCAGGTGATAGAATCAGGGATAAGGAACTTAAAGTTTTGTAGACAGGCTGGAGAAGTTGAAATGGTTTTTCTTGAGGAGATTTGAGAGATATTCAGAATCATGTGAAGTCTGGATAGAGTAGATAGTAAAAACTGATCCCGCTGGTGGAAGAATCAAAGATGAGGGCACGAATTTAAGGAAACTGGCAAAAAAAAGCAATGATGACGTGAGAAGTATTTTCATGCAATAATGGTTAAAATAAGAATGAAGATTTTATCAAGACATTCCTAGGCAGGGAACCAACGTCTGCTAGCAAGTGCAGAGGTGATGTGTAAATGGTGTGAATCAGCTTACATACAACAGAGTTTTTCAGAGGATGCACACAAGAGGCTGGCAAAGCACGCATTGGAATAGAAACAGAAGTTTCTCAGAACAAAGGAAGGGTTACTAGACCCAAAACGTTAATTCTGATTTCTCTCCACAGATGCTGCCAGACCTGCTGAGCTTTTCTAGCAATTTCTGTTTTTCTTTCTGATTTCCAGCATCCGCAGTTCTTTTGGTATTTATTATGCATTAGAATAGAGTGGTCTGGTGTGTTAGCCAGTGGCTGCAGAGAGAGAGAGAGAGAGGCAGGCAGACAAGCTGCTGACATTGCTGCCTGCGAGATACTGACCAGAGGCTGCAGAGAGAAAGGTGGAGACAGGGGGTTGCCAGTCACTGATATCGCTAACAGGAGATACTGGATGTAAAAGTAAATGCTGACATAAAAAAAGAAGCAGCTTGTGAACTGATGATAACCCAGACCTAGGAGCTTGCCTGAGCCAGTCAGAACTACTAAGATCTGCAAAAAAATGGTAAGAAAGATGAGGTAATGCAAAAGCCTTAATTGGACGAGGGACAATGAGGTAATGCTACCTAAGTCTCTGGTCCAGGGCCAATATGGTAAAGACATGCGATAATTGAATTAGCTTGAGCCAGCAGGAAAAAGACAACACGACTTGAGAAAGAGAAGGGAAAAGGGATAAAAGAAGACCCCCGGGGCATACAGCCAGCGAAAACTCCGGAGATCAACTTCCGCAGAAGCGTGCCTCTCATCAGGGACGTGGAGACGGCACCGAGTGCAGCGTCTGGCCAACGTCAGTCCTCGGCAACCACAGCAGCTATTCTGCACAGGTATTAGTTTTTAAATTCTGTGATTGCTCTGGAAGTGTTAGTAGCCTTTTGTGGGTGTACGCATAGGCTCTAGTTCTTTCGGGAAAACGTACGAGTTACTTTTGTATTGTCTAATGTATAAGCCATACATATATCTTTTCATAATACGTAAATGAAAGAAATTAGTGAGTTATGGTAAAAGTGTCCTTCTCTGTACGAGTCGATAACTGGAGCCAGTGTTTGCCGGCTTTAATAGATTTTGGTGGCGGTGCCTGGGACCCGAGGGTAGATGTCTCCGTTGAGTCAGCGGGAGACTCTGGTCAGATCGAACGGAAGCTCTAGGTTCGAGGGAAGACTTCTCCGCTGTGTCAGGTGTGAGTCGAACCGAACTGGCAGAGTACTCAGAGAATCGGAGCTTGGGTATTAATCTGTAGCCACTAGTATACAATGACAAATCAGGAGGAAATAGTCTGCCCCGATGGAACTTCTCCAGAAGTATGTAATAGGGAAGTGGCCACAATACGGAGAATATGCAGGTCATACTAGGGACAAGGGAAAGTCTGCTTGGGAAGTGAGGAAGGCAGCGAAGGGGATGTGGATTGGGATGATTTCGCAGATGAAGCTGCTAGGTATGGTCATGATGACGGGGAACCTCCACCAGGGTATCTACCACCAGCTTATGACCCAGGGTCGGAGACTCCATCGGCTCCAATCTTAATGGCACCCCTGGTAACCACTAAAGGAGGACTAGAGGCAGATGGTCAGATGGCAGAAGGTGGGAGGATAGTATATTATACCCCATTGGGGGTACAGCAGCTGAGGGACATTGTGAAAGATATCGGGACACGCGCGCCCGGGGATGATCCTAGGGAGCTGTTCCGAGCGGTCAGTCACCAGAGAGAAATACATGGTTTAGATGATGCTGAGGAAAGAAAATTAATAATAATGTGCCTGCACCAACATATACACTCTGCCTTACCAGCAGAGCAGAAAGTTTGGTAGAGGCACAAATCCGGCTTTAAAAGGTATTAAATATCATGCGCGCTGACAGGGTGCTACTAAAGGAAACGTGAACACCCCACCGCAGGCATTTACATCACGCCTTTGGTAAGTGTTTCAGGGGGTATATGGTACAGCTTTGGATGGGAACAATCCGGAGGCAGAGGTAGGAATTGATAGCTGAGAACACTGGTGTCACATGGCACTGAGGAGACCAGGAAAGCATTAGAGATAACAAGGTGTAGAGCTGGATGAACACAGCAGGCCAAGCAGCATCAGAGGAGCAGAAAGGCTGACGTTTCGGGCCTAGACCCTTC